ATAAGCCAATAACCACTTCTCAATTAACATACCATTCCAAAACATGACTGCCCTTTGAGATGTGATGACCTATCCAGATGCTTTAGAATCATCAATCCTAGGCTCACTATATTCTATCCATTTCACCACTTTTTTTTTTTTTTTTTTAAAGACAGGGTCTTGCTCTATCTCCCGGGCTAGCGTGCAGTGGTGTCATCACAGCTGACTGCAACCTCAAACTGCTGGGCTCAAGTGATCCTCCTGCCTCAGCCTCCCGAGTAGCTGGAACTACAGGCGCGTGCCACCATGCCCAGCTAATTTTTCTATTTTTTATAGAGATGAGGTCTCGCTCTTGCTCAGGCTGGTCTCAAACACCTGACCTCACGTGATCCTCCTGCCTTGGCCTCCCCAAATGCTAGGATTACAGTTGAGAGCCACCACACCTGGCCCATTCGTTTTTGTTTTTTTAAATCACCAAAAAGAACTGACAATTTCACTACATTCTAACTCTGAAAACGAGTAACCCATCCATGCTGTAAATGGTAGCTCTGTATCACTCAAAATATCATTTGTCAGAATAATCAGTTCACAGATTATGCTAAATAACAGTTTTATACCACATGCTATGGTCTGAATGTTTGTATTCCCCCCCCGAAACTATGCTGAAATCTAATAACCAATGTGACAGTGTTAGGAAGTGAGGCCTTTGGGAAGTGATTAGGTCATGAGGACAGAGCTCTTGTAAATGGGATTAGTATCCCTACAAAAGAGGCCCAAGAGAGATCCCTTATTCCTTCCTCCACGTGAGGACACAGCTGGAAGGTGCCATCTATAAACCAGAAATTGTGAAATATTCTACAAAATACCTAACCAGTACTCTTTAAAAGTGTCAGGGCAATGAAAGACAGGGGAAGATTTAGAAACTATCATTGACTAGGAGAGACTAAGGAGATATGACAATTAAATGCAATGTGGGATCCAGGACTGGTCCTGAAAGGGGAAAAGGACAATAGTGAAAAAACTGATAAAAATTAAATAAAGTTTGTAGTTCAATTAATAGTATTGTACTAGTGTTAATTTCTTAGTTTTTATAATTTACTATGGCCAATGAAGATGTTACAAGAGAGGAAAAGAGAACTCTCCACATTATTTCTGCAGCTCTTCTATAGGTCTAAAATGATTTCAAATTCAATTTTTTTTAAATGCTAGGGGATTGCACTTTAAAAAAAGAATGAACTACTTACAGATGCAACAACATGAATGAATCACAAAAACATTATGCTGAACAAAAGAAGCCAGACACAAAAGAGTACATACTACATGATTCCATTTATACGAAATTCTAAAAAAGGCAAAATTAACCTATAGTGACAAAAAGCCCTACAGCCAAGAGTGGGGTGGGGAAGAGAGCTGACTTCAAAGACACACTGAGGAACATTTTGGAGTGATGGAAATATTCTGTATCTGGATTATGGTGGTGTATACATTTTCTCAAATTCAATCTGTATACTTAAAATTCATGTGTTTTATTGTATGTAACTTATTTCTCAATAAAGTTTATTAAATTATTAAAATACATTCATATTTAGAAGTAATTCACTTGAATAATTAGTATATATTTTATACTGGGTAAACTAAAGTACCAAAAATGATTTTTAAACTAATTACTAAAACTTAATGTACCCAAACTGTTCATTCAATAAATATTTACTGGACACCTACTTTATGCCAGGCTTTATGCTACACATAGAATACAAATATGAAAAAGAAAGGCCTGGCTCTTGAGAAACCTGAAAGTCAATGGGGAGACAAGCTGCAACAAAAGCTGCAACTGACATATAAACTGCTCGGAAGGAATGATGTACCAAGATATCAGGATTGCACAGAGAAAATGATGTCTCAGAGAAGGCTTCAAAAAAAATACAGATTCTTTCCAAGAACTTACCCTGTAAGGAAGACTATTACACTTATTCCAGGGAGATTTATCCCAAATACTTGAAGTTTAAAAAAAAAAAAACAACACTTCCTTTAGTCTTGTCTCTGTATTTCATGGCACATTTTTCTAATGAAGTCTTAGTACTTCAGGGTGTGGTTTGTTTTTTAAACAACCAAAAGTTATTCACAGCTAAATTTAATGACTACCACTCTGGAAAACAGGTGAGAATATAAAGTCAATAATCTTGTTTTCCTATGTGCTTTGTGAAGTGAGG